GAGGCTCAATTTGTTTGTCAAGACCTAAAAATATATTTCTGTGACTCCAGGGTTTCTGTTTTCCTGAAAAGACGAATAATCAAAGTCCTCTTCGTGTTTGTTGCCTCCCACGCACTTTTGCTGTAACTGTTGACTAAGGATGCCTGTGCTTGTGTTCGGCCCTCTACGCCAACAATAACACAAACCATTGAAATTCTCGCTCGACATTTGGAAATGGCTACTGGTAAATCCGTCCCCGGGCCCAGTGGGGAAAGGATAGTTCATTTATGCATTAGATCTAAACATGTTTGTAGCTTAGTATGTGGTGGAATTGTCTCTGTCAAGAACAGGTTTGATGCAGAAGTCCACCATGCCCCTTGGTTAGTATTGTGGCATAGCAGGCTGAGCTGCTGCTTTTGACTCCAGCATCCTGTATCAGAGTGCCAGTTCAAATCCTAGCTGCTTTGCTTCCCATCCAGCTTTGTGCTTATATGCCTAAGAAGGCAGCAGAAAAATGGCCCAATTTGTTGTGCCCTTGCCGTCCAGAAGGAATACCCAGATAGGGTTCTGGCTTCTAGCCTTAGCCTGGCCCGGATCTGGCTATTGCAGCCATTTTGGGAATCAAGACAATTTTTAAAATGTCTTGAGGGGGCAGGTGTGAGCCTCCTATGCTGCCTGTGTTGCATAGTTGAGTACCTGGGTTTGAATCTGAATCTGGCTGTAGCTCCTGATTCGAGCTGCCTGCTGATACAAACTCTCAGGTCACCGGGTTCCTGACAGGCAGGCGGGAGCCGTGGACTTGTTTGCTTGCACTTGACTTCAGGCTGCCCCAGCTGTAGCCATTGCATGCATTTGTGTAGTAAGCCAGAGAGGGTGGAAGCTCTCTCCTCTCAAATAAAGAAGGAAGAAATTCTTTAAAAGACTTTGTGCCTTTTATACATCTGGTAGATGTGTCCTGGTTGCGTGGGGATAGCAGAACTTGGGTAGAGTACTTCTTTGTTCCCAGGGTCAGCAGAGTGCTGATTTTTTGTTGCTGTTGTTGATTCCCTCATGGGGATTATTGTGTTATGATCTAAGGAAACTGATGATGTTTCACAGTAGGCATTTCCCAGTCCTGCATGTCCCCTGGTTTTTGGTCTGCCACCAGGATCTGCACTGTTGGCTTCAAGCCATGGTTCTTCCTTCGTGTTCATACGGCTTACCAGCCTGTGCTCTGATGAGGGCGAAAAAATGTATTTTGTCTTTTTGTGGGAGCAGTAGAAGAATGTTTACAGTTCAGCAGCAGGAAAGAAAGATACTGAATGACAAAAATGCACAAAGTGCCTACCGTGCCTTTCTCTGCATATTACATCGTTATGATAGGAATTTGAGGAAAAGGAGAAAGAACCGATCAGGGGATCCCAAGTGAAAACAGGATAAAATTTTGATGCAGGCAAAAAATACTCCGCTCTTAGAATAAGGTAGAAAAATAGGAACGCTAAGATCTCAAACACAATCTGTTCTCAGTTCATCTGAGAAAAAATTAAAGTTGGTGGGGGTGCGGGTAGAGTCTGTACGTATAAACTTCTGCATGAAGCTTATACCTCCTGGCAGATTATAAAATCAATAACTTGCATGTCTGGCATACAGTCAGCATTGATCTTTGAATATTCTCTTGCTTAGGAAGATTTCCTGCCTTCTTTTTGGAGTAAGAATGGAAGCCTGTCTTTTCATCCCCAAATACACATTTCATTCTTTGAAATGATGATTTTGTTCGCTGTACATTGTATGTCCAAGTGGACTTCTTCAAATGTGTAGTATAGGTGAGAAAGTAATATGACTTATAACATGGAATATTGAGTAATAATTCCAATATCATCCACCTCTGAGATTTTCTCTCTGTATATAGATATAGTCTACAATGACAGCTGCAGGAAATTGTTGACTTTGTCAATTTTTCAATATTTTTATTTGGAGATCAGATTTTACAGAGAGAGAACGAGAGACCGACGTTCTCTTCCATCTACTGGTTCACTCCCCAAATGGCCACAAGAGCCAGAGCTGAGCTGATCCGAAGCTGGGAACCAACAGCTTCTTCTGGGTTTCCCAAGTGGAATGTAAAGGTCCAAAGCTTTAGGCATCCTCCACTGCTTTCCTAGGTCACACACAGGGAATTACATTGGAAGTAGAGCAGCCAAGACAAGAACTGACATCATAGACACTGTTGTCATCTAGGGCTCAAGTTAGACGATTATAATTGGCATAGTCCGGGGTCTTACATATGAGGTGAAGTAATTGTCCTTGACCTTTAAGTATGCTTATTTAAAACTACTGTGAAAGCATGGACCGGCATACAAAATGCTGTCTCTTGATCAAGCTCAATAAATGCCTTCTTGGAGTAGATACCTTGCTTTACATGTCAACTCCTGACCTGTCTGAGAAGGATGCCATGTCAGTCAGGTAACAAGTCCTCCCATCTGAAACTCTCATTAGAATTCTTTACTCAGCCATATGTACATGACAGAAACAAGTGCTGTGTATTCATTTTCAATCATTCAATCATCATCATGAGGACCAGTGCTCTTGATGGTTGATGATGGATTTGCCCGTGCTACGGCAACAGAGGCAGTAGCCATGTGTGGTTCCAAAGTCAGAGACCCATTCTGACCCACTCCAGGGCATAGTGGTCCTCCCTCCTGCCCCTAATATCCACTTGTTTGCACCCACACCATCTCATTTGTAAAATGTGGTCATTATTGTGCCTTTAATTGGTGTTGGGATATGAACAGTTACTTGCATGGCACATTGGCTATGTTCTGTCCAGCCTCAGCTGCTAAGTTATGTTATTGGGAATATTAAGGGTTGCTTCATTAATGTGTTAACTAAATTGTGATTGACCTAAAATTGTGACACTTCTGCAGAGAATGGAGAGCTAGAGTGCAGGGGGAGGGTTAATGCTCCTGGGCTCCGGTTTTTAGGATTACATTTCACTTGGAGCACTTTGTCTAATAGGCTTAGTGTGAAAGCAATGAAGAGCTCTTAAAATTGTTGTGAACATGCACATAGATTAATACATTCCTACTTCAAAGGCAGAAAAAAGAGATTGGTAAATCTTTGACCTGAAGGGATCCTAAGATGCCACAAGCTATCCTGAGGGCTTATGGGAAAACCTTTAAACCCCAAGACCTGTGTTCCTCCTATGGAAGACAAAAGAGTTTTCTTGAAATTTCCTTCCTTCCATTCCTTTCCATCCATGCTGACCCTTAAGTTATACAAATGACCTGGGGTTTTGAGCAAAGAAGGTGGAGCCCTGAGAGATGCAGTAGCTTGTCATGAGGGTGTGAGGGTGAGTTGAACACACACGATTTCCAAGCCGACTAGGTGGTCTGCTCTCCTGTTGGGGGCCTCCTCCAGACCACGCTGTATCTGAGCCTGTACTGCTTGTTCAATCCATAGCAACTCCCAGGGGCCAGACTCACTTCTGTGTGCATAGCTCTCCCGTGCACAGTGTCAGCATCGAAGATATGTGGAGTCCTGTAGAAAATACTTACTAGGCTTGATATCTGTATCTCTCTGTATTAGTCACTTTTTTCCATTGTAAAAGAAGTAGTGGTGTGCTTTTTTTTTTCAATGTGTATGTTTGTGTAGTCATGTGTTTTTGGGTTTGCACTTTTAAACTTTACCTAGTGGAAACAGAAGGGAAGGTATTTTTTATTTCCTCGGGAAACCTGCAGGGCGGATGTTTGAGTCCTTCTTGCCAGGTGGTTATCTCAGTGTGGTATTGGCAGGGATACCTATGCACTGGAATGGGCTATTCACCTGGTTCCAAGCCTAAGGATCTTGTGAGCATTCAATCAAAAGAGATTTAAAGGATGCACAGAAGAATCCTCTATCTCTTAATTTAATCAAGAATCCAAGTTAAAGATGGCCTGAAGACAGCCAAATGCTTGCTAAGGAGTGTGAATAAATGGTGGACAGACACGTTGGAAAAAGTGACATTCCTGTGATAACATTTTCCAGTTAAATGTTTCAGTTTTATTAAAAAATAATGATAAATAGTAAAAAAAAATAGTATTAATCTCTTTTCATTCTAAGATTGTTTATAACAATTTATGTAGGGAATATGCAAGGGTAATTTTAGAAACTCACAAAAAATGGAAATTACTTTTAAGCAAAAAATTTTGAAACCCCTGCTGAAATTTTTCATAACACATACATTCATAAACTTCTGGTGAGGACCTTTCCTATTTTAAAAAATGTAAATGAAAGGAATGTAAAGACTTAATGACAAATATGAATTAATGTGGAGAAATTGTATGAGAGCACCTGAAGTCTGCTGTGGATACTACTATGTTCTGTGCATTACAAGATGAAGGAAACCTCTCAAATTATTCACAGTCTAGTGAAAAAAAAAATTGCGTTTTGTCAAGGTCTGCAACAGAAAAGCAAAGATTGCCACGTGAGCAATAGTAAAGTTGTGGGACTGGAGCAAAGATTCAACTAACTGATCCTCTACTTGCAAGCTCTGGCATCCCACATGGGCTCCGGTTCATGTCCCAGCTGCTCCACTTCCCATCCAGCTCCCTGTTCATGGCCTGGGAAAGCAGCAGAGGATGGACAGCCCAAGGCACTGGGACTCTACACTTACATGAGAGACCTGTAACAAGCTCCTGGTTTCTGACTTTGGATTGGCACAGCCCCAACAGTTGTACCATTTGGGAGTGAACCAGCAGATGGAAGATCTTTCTGCCTCCCCTTGTCTATAAATCTCTTTCAAATAAAAGCAAATAAATCAATAATAAGCAGCACGTGACGTCTGTTCTTCCATCATGTCAGAAGAGTAACAGCAGCTGGCGGGAGGATTGTGAGGTAGGGTGTGTTTTTAACGACTGACGGATGCACAATATTTTTCAAGATAATTTTAGTTTTTATTTGGAACCCAGGAAACCAGGACTATTGATATACACTCACTATATGGGTCATTTAGATTCTCTTTCTCAAATACTGTCAAATAAACATTTGTTTTATTTCCCCCTTTCTAGCTCCAAGAGGAAAGCGAGGATGGAAAACCTTTTATGCTGTACTGAAGGGGACAGTTCTTTACCTTCAAAAGGTAAAATAGATAAAATCTATAAAAGTTTATGAACTGATAATCAAGACACCCGAAGGAACAATTCACTTTGTACAGAAGAACTTCGTTAAATGCCCAGAACTTTTCATTTAATTGAGGTCTAAAATGTTTATTTTGGGGGGGGTGGGAGGTTGGGAAGATTATCTTTAGGTAAAACAATGCACATATGCATATGATCAGAGGAATAAATGGGCTGTTTTCTAAGAATGCTCAATATTAAGTTGGATCTGATGTGTCTGTGCAGGTCCAGATGCAACAGTGCCTGGTTCAGCAGATATTTATACCTTAGATTAACTTTAGTCTCCATTTATGTATGTATTACCATTTTCCTGTTATGATTCTGATCCTACTTAAAACTGGACTTGCCCTTTCATTCCAGTTCTGAAGCACTTGTTCCTGACGGTAGCAGAGGTGTTCTATTCCAAATCAAATCATTTGGCCAGATTATTATCTTTCTCTGAGTTTCTAAATCCGAGAATCTGTTTAGAATCCAGCTTATAGCAGGTGGTCCCTAGGAGTAGCCTCCTCTCCCCAGCTCGGCATGTTGACTAGAAAGTGTTAACAGGAACAGGAAACCACTTCCAGCTCCTGCTGTGACGAGGCAGGCACTGAGGCTAACAGGAAGCAAGGCAGTAGTAATCCCGCTCTTTATGGTATCTGCTGGGAAATTACTTTCATTAATTGTGATGAAACCATCTGTCTTGTATTTTGAGATATACAGTAGAGTGTTGTTAACTGTAAGCACACACTTGTATTACTGAAGCTTTATGCGTTGATTGGCAATATTCCTACCTTTCCACTTAGCATAATGTCCTCCAAAGTTGGGCCTTGTAGCTGCTGCCAGAATTCCCTTCCTGTTTAATGCTGAACAATATTACATTAAATGTGTGTACATTCCATTTCTGTTCACTTATTGGTAGACAAGTAGTTTTCACCTCATGGTTACTATGAGTAACAGTGAACATGAAGTACAAATACTTCTCAGAGCTCCTAATTTTATTTCTTTTGGCTAAATGCCCAGAAACAGCTTTGCTGGATTAGAAAGTAGTTTTGATGCGGGGTTTATTATTATTTTTATTTATGAGATAGCTGTTTGAAAGACAGATTACAGAGAGGAGAAGAGGCAGTGAAAGATCTTCCATCACTTGGTTCACTCCGTGGGACTGGGCCAGGTCAAAGCCAGGAACCAAGAATTTCATTTGTGGCCCCCACTTGGGTGCGGGGGCCAAGAATTTGGGCCATATTCTGCTGCTCTCCCAGGTGCATCACCAGGTGGCTGGATTGGAAATGAAACAAACAGGATTCAAACTAGCACAAGCATAATGCTAGCAGCTAAACCCACTAAGTCACAGTGCTAGCCCCTAGTTTTAGGGTTTTTTGCTGTTCTTTTTTTTTTTTTTTTTGAGGAATTTCCATTCTGTTTTCCAAAAGAACTGCAATTTTTATGTGCCAACAGTACCTAGCATTCCAGTTTCCCCATGTCCTCACCAAGCAGTAACCAACCTTCGTTCCTCCCTATCTTTTCCTCCACTCTCTTTGCTTTGCTTTACCTTCCTCTGCCCCTCCCCATCTTGTCCCCTTCCTTTTCCTTTGTTTTTTTTTTAACAATAGCCACCCTGTTAGATATAGAGTAGCATCGAATTTTTGCTTTCATTTGCTGTTCAGAGAGCTCCAAAGAATGTCTCCCACTGCTCACTCTCTTGACTGCACACTGTGTGTGATCCTGGATTCTCCAGCGGACACAGGCCAGTGTCCGCTCATGCCATTCCATTCCGACACTGTCTTCCTGGAGACAGCTTCCGGTCCGCATGCTTCTCTTCAGATACCCACTGCAAGTCATGGGTGGTTTTGTGCACTTTTGATATAAACCAGGGTTTCCCACAGCCTCTTCCGTAGGTTTAATTTGCTGCTAGAGTGGCTCACAGCTGAGGGACACAGTTTTACAGGTTGGCCATTTATTATAAAGTAGGATAGGGATGTACAGGAGGAGGCACAGAGCTTCCATGGCGTCTCTGGGCCCAGCACTTGTGCCACATGACACAGGCTCACTACCTGATGCGCACAAAAACCCACTCTGACCCCTCTGAGAACAGAGGCTTCATTTGTCGGCCAGCATTGGAGGCTGGAGATGGGACTCAGGTTGGCCTCCAGGACTTGGAGTCTAGTGAAAGTAGTGCGGGTTAACTACTATAGGTAGGGGAAAGCTGATGTGTGGAAACAAGTTCTGATGGGAGGGGCTGGAATCAGACCTGCATCATAAAGTGCAGATTAACTCCAGATTCCTTCTTCAATGAACCCCTGCGCTCTGAAAGGGCTCTGGTGTTTTAACCTGACCCAGGTAGAGCCCTAACTTGGATTTCTGTGTTGTGCATTCCTTCTGCGCTTGCACCACTATGACCTAAACATCTCTCCAAGAGGAAAAAAAAAATCTTAAAAATGTTAAAAACGAAAAAGTTAGAATTGACCGGTCCATCAAAAGCAGAGAACTTTGAGGAAAGGACTAGGGAACTGTAACAGGTTTTTGAGTTCGCAGTGTGTGGAGGAAATCTGGGAAAGGGCGTTGTGATGTCACCACCCTCTGGGAAACTCCATCTGTTCAGCTCTGCGGACGCTCGTCCTAACACAGTCCTTTGCGTGTGTTATGAAGGCTGCGTTGTACAGCCACTGTTGATTAGATCATTGACCATGGGGGTCAACTCCACCCTAGGCTTCCGTCCTCCTCATCCTTCAGAGAGACTGTGGGATTGAGGCTAAAATTGTCAGCCTTGTAATAATACCTTGGTCTTTTTGGCTTCCAAGACCTATCCTGAGAATATCAAGGAATGTCAGAATACCAGGCAGCAGTGATTTCTTTAGAAAACAAAAGGCACTTATCGTCTAGAGATTTCAAGGGTTTAGGAAGCACTGTGCTAAGAAATGAAGAAAAAGTATGTGTGCGCGTGTGTGTTTATCCTGTTATCAATCATAGCTCATTTGTATTTTCCTAAGTTAGCACCTTTTCATATGCCTGTCTTCCAGTTGTATGTCTGCCTCAAAGAAATGTCTCTTCTGGTTCTTGACTCATTTTTAAAATGGGTTGGGTTTGCTGTGTCTCGTTTATAGCTATTGAATTGTAGGTGTTGCTTATATATGTTGAGTTAGCAAACCTTTTGTCAGGTGAATGAATATGAATTTGTGAATATGTTCTTCTGTTCCGTAGGTTACCATGTCAGAAATCTGCTGACTTTTAGTTCTTTTTTCTGTGTAGCCACTTCTTCGCTTAATGTGGTTCCCCTTATGTGCTTAACTTTTTGTTTCCTGTGCTTTTCCAGCCTCCATGCAGAAATGCTTCCCAGGTTCAGTACTGCGAAGATTTCGTCCTTGTATTTTTGTCTATGAATTTCATGACCCTGGGTGGTCTTATGTTTAAGCGTTCAGTCCATTTTGAGTTAACTTGTATAATTCCTTTAGGAGAGCAGTCACTTTTCATTCTTTTGATGTGGGTGGGCAGTCTTTCTCACACCATTTGCTGAAAGGGCTGTTTTCTTTATTGCGAGGTATTGCCATCCTTGTTGGTCATTTCACTGTTTGCATGGTAGTTTGTTTTCTGTGTTCAGGGTCCTGTTTCATCAGCTTGTGCATATTTCAGTGCCACCCTCTCTCGACCCTGTACTTTGTAGTATCTTTTGAAATTAGAATGTGAACCCTTTGTTCGACTTAAGATTGCTTTAGTTTCTCAGGATGCTTTGTGATCCCCTATGAATTGTATCATTTTGTTTTTCAATTTCTGGAAAAAATGCCATTGGGCTGTTAAGGATTACAGTTGGGATTGTAGATGGCTTTGAGTAGTATGGACATTTTTACAAAAGTCTTTCTTCCAGAATATTGACCATCTTTTCATATGTGCATGTCTTTTATCTTTTGTGCTAATTTGTAATTGCCAGTATACACTGCTTTCAGAAATATCCATTCAAATATATTAGGTATTTTAATACTCTGTGTATTATTATAAGTGGTGTTATTGATTTCCATATTAGATTATTTACTGTTAGTATATAAAATACAGCTAAATGCTATACATGGATTTTTGTATACTTCAATTTTAATAAATTTCTTCTTCCACAAGCTTTTCTCTGCCTCTCTGTAATGTTTCAGTTTTCTGTCTATAAGTTTACTCCAAGATCATGTCAACCATTTGTAATTTCTATCTGGTTTTTCATGGAAGGCTATTGAATTGTTCAGCCGTTTCCTATATCTGTTAAGATGTGTGTGTGTGGCTGTACCCTTTGTTCTGTTAATATAGCAGTTTGGTTGGTTTTTGTACTTTGTTATAAATCTCACTTACCCATAATGTGCGATCTTTGTGCTGTATTGTTGTGTTCTGCAGTATTTGGTTTAGGATTTTCACATCTGTGTTCATCAGCAATGTGCGAGAACACATTTCTTTCTGGCTTTGGTAGCAGTGGCATGCTGACCTTATAAAAATGAGTTTGGAGTGATTTCTTCCTTTTAACTTTTTGGAAGAGTTGGGGACAGATTGGTATTAATTCTTTAATTGTGCCGTGGAATTCACTCATGAAGCCATCTGGTACAAGGGTTGTCTTTAAATTTTTCACTACTGACTCAATATCCATCCTAGTTCTAAATCTATTTAGATTTTCTTTATTCTCCATGACTGAATCCTGCGATTCAGGATTATTGTGTTTCTGGTTACTTACCCGTTTATTCTGAGTTACCCAATGTGTAGGTTCTTAGAGGTATTTGAATTTCTGTGGCATCTGTTCTCATATCTTCTCATTTTGAGTGTTGCCTTTTTTTTCAGTCAAGCTAAGGTTTTGTAAATTTGTTGATCCTGTGAGAAAAACAAATTATTAGTTTGATGCTTATTGGTTTTCTATTCCCTATTTAATTTCTTTTCTGCTCTAAGTCCTTCCTTCCTCTGCTATCATTAAAATTAGGTCCTCACTTTTAGACCATTTAGGAATGAAATCAGGTTATACAAT